AGAGAGAGGGGGGGGGAGAAAGAGAGAGAGAGAAAGAAGGAGGGAAAACAGATAGAAAATGAATGAGAAACAAACAGACGGATGGACAGTTTATGTCAAATAATAGAAGCACTTAAATAACGTGGAAATAGAGAGTTTCGTGCTTGACAAAGAAATTTGTGTAATTAGCTATATTTGTGTCATATCACCATTACGTGTACGTTACACTCAAATAATATTTTACATTTTGCGAAAAACTTGAATTCGCATTTTTCTTTGAAAATCGCTAAGATTGCAAATTCAAGTAGCGCGCAATCCCCCCCCCCCTAAAAAAAGAGCCAGTATGCAGTAATGTATGAAGAGCTTCGATATCATAAAGTTTCGGCACGTTAGACACCAAAACAACTTACAGATGATCACAAATTGCACCACACGGAGGCTTGTCGGACACTTTTGGAACGGTACAGGGATGACATTTTTGGGGGCGTGCGCGGAGGGGGCAAAAGGGACCTTGTGGAGACAATGATAATATGAGCTGATTGTGATAATACAAGAGCTAAAAAAACAGAAAACGAAACATGGGTGCGTCACACATGAGCTAAAAAATACCCGTCACTGACAGTTCAGGGCCTAACTCTCTTCGGAAAAACTCCTGACAACACGTTTTCCCTGATATGAAGGGTGTTTTGCTTTTAGTATTTTGCGGCCTTGCCAATCTATTAAAGCTGTGACGCTGAATAGAATAACAAGAAAGCCTCTACATCGAAAAACACAAGGCTGCTTGAGGAAGGGCACCATCTTGCAGCCTCACTCTGCCACACTGCATGCAACAAAACTGACTAGAGATTGGCCTCGGAAGAACAATTGGGAGGTTCTGCAACACTCATCATACAGTCAGGACATTTCCCCTCAGATAATCACCTGTTTTGACATCTGTTTGGGTATAACTTCATAGAGGGAAACGATCTCATTGAAGAAGAGAAAAACTGGTTGCAATCTTTTGATGAGACTCTCGTCAAGGAGGGTATATTATTATTCACATGTGTGCAGATGACAAATAATACGCATCGCTCTTCACTGGGGATTACATTGAGAAGAAGAAAAATAGTGAAGCTCTTTAAGCTGAAGATTCACTTGACTCAATGAGTACTTTCCAAGTACCTTAATTTCGGAACAACCCTCATCAAAAAGTTCGAGTGATGCTTTAGACGGGGTGAAAAGAGAAAAAAAGAGGGG